GAGAGAGAGAATTCCTTCTTGAAAGCCCTTCTTGTAGCAGTACTAATCCATGAGGCCTCTGCCTTCATGACCTAAGCAGCATCCATTAGGTTCCACCTCCCAGCGCTGTTGCACTGGGGATTAGGCTTCAACCTGAGTTTTAGAGGAGATGAAAACATTCAAACCATGGCAGACTGTAGGTGGGGATCTCCTCTGTGCTTTCTCTCAGCTCCTGGTGTTCCCAGCAATCCTTGACATGCATAGGCTTGTAGCTGTAGCACTCCAATCTCCGCTGTCCTGTGGTCTTTTCTCTGTGTGTGTCTCTGTGTCTCTTCTTATAAGGACACCACTCATTGGATTAAGGCCTGTCCTAATGACTTCATTTTAACTTGATTGCATCTGCAAGAATCCTATTTCCAAATAAGGTCACCCTCACGGGTTCTGGAGGTTAGGACTTCAACACTCTTTTTTGGAGGACATAACAAAACTCATCACAGTAAGTAAAGCCCTTAGCTTGGTGCCAATGCCTTGTAAGTACTCAATAAATATTAGCTGTTATTATTACTTGTGAGGCTCAAAGGAGAGACAAAGTAAACCAAGTCCCTTTGCAAATGGTAAAACAGAGGGCAGTGCTGTCGTTATTTTCTTTGAACTAATAGGAGGTGCCTTCTGACAAAGACGAGAGACAGAAATTCTCAAGGAAGAGCTAGCTTGGCGATAATGCAGAATTTCACATGCAGGTGTTAGACACAGAAGGCAGAGAGAGAGGGCAAATCATGCCAGGGCAGGAATCTTCCATCCACGACTCATGGCAGCCATTCCTGGAGCAGGGCTCAGGGTGTGGGTGCTCAGCCAGGGCAAAGCTGGAAAGAAAATAGCCCCGTCTTCGTTCTCCCAGCTCAGGCCATCTGATTGCCCCTCTATGGTCTGTTAGCTCCTGGTGCTCCCAGCAATCCTTGATGTTCATTGGCTTGTAGCTACGTCACTCCAGTCTCCGTCCTTCTCATCACATGGCCTTCTCTCTGTGTGTTTGTCTCTGTGTCTCTTCTCTTTGGATGAGGACACTAGTCATATTGGATTGGGACCGTCCTACGGACTTCATCTTAACTTGCATCTATAAGAATCCTATTTCCAAACGAGGTCACAGGGTCCTGTTGACTCTGCTCCCGAAATATGTTCCAGTCCCAGTTCCCTCCATCCCCCGTCATGGCTCTTTTCCAAGCCATCGCCTCCTTCCGCCAGACAGTCGTGACAGCATCCTCACTGGCCTCCCTCTTCTCCCCTCGCCCTTTGCCTTCCAGCCTCCTACCACCCTTTCCTCTTGCTCCCCAAGCTCCGCCTCCCTGGTTTCTTTCCAGGCCTCTAACACAACAGGCTTGACCCTACCTCTGGACCTTTGCACTGCCTGCCTGTTCCCTCTCTGTGGAAAGTCCTTTCTCAGGTCTTGGCCTGGCTTCCTTCCCTGTCATCATTCATGCCAATTTCTGTTCAAATGTCTTCCCTGACTACAAAAGGAGCTCCCTGCCCCAGTCCCTCTCCCTCACTACATTCCTTTCTTTTCTTCCCAATACCTTGATCTGCAATTATCTCATATTTTATGTATTTCCTTGCATGTCTGTTTCTGCCACTAGAACATAACAAGCTCTAGGAGATCAGGAATTATGATTATCTTGTTCACTTCTGCATCTTCATGTGAAGAACGGAGTGTGGAGTACTGTAGGAACTTAGTAATATTTGTTGCATAAATGAAAAACACCACTGAGACCAATACAACCTGGAATGTGCAGGAAAAGGCATCAGGAAATTCAGCACCAAGTCCTTCCCACCACTTGTCCTTTGGTCCTCAGTTTTGATAAATAAGCCTCTGCCTTGTTCCTGGAACCCAGAGCCCGCTTTCTCACTTTGTTTATTCAACAACTGTTGAGTACATACCACGTGCCACGTACTGTAACAGGTGTTGGAGAGGCAGATTTTAAAAGCACAGTAGATGGAAGCACAGAGAAGACATCTTCCTAGATTTGGAGTGGGAGGACAGCTGGGAAGGCTACCTGGAGGAGAGGGCACCCCAGCTTGCATCTGAAAGTCAGACAGACAGAGTGTGGGAACACTCTGTGTTCAGGGGAACAGACAAGGCTGAGTCGCATTCATAGTTGTCACCTACTCAACGTGGCCAAGCCTTGTGCAAAGCACCTGGCAAGGATGATCTCATCTGTCCATGTGGTAACCCTAGAGGCAGGTCCTTTTACCATCCATATGTGGCAGAGAAGGGAACTGATTTAGAGAGAGGTGTGGGTTTGTCTAAGGGGACACAGCTAGTATGTGCAGGGGCTCAGGCTCCATGTGGGTGTCTGTGCTCTCTGGCTGGTACCCTTGTCACATTGCACACTAGGAAACGGCCTGAGGTCCTGAGTCCTTGCTCTGCACTCATACAGGGCCCTGCCCTCCTTCCGTGAGGGCTGCCTGACTTGGGATCGTCAAGGTCGTGCTGGTGGTGAGAGCCTGGCTCCTGGGCCTCTTTTGAGGTTCAATTGTCCAAATCTTGGCTTCCCTACATTCTCGGCTGTTCTGCCCTGGACCCTGTGCCCAGCACACCCTCTTTGTGATTCACTTAGGATGCTTTTGGCTGCAAGTGATGGAAACCCTGACCCAACCTGCTTCACACAGGGAATGTAATTATCTCCAGAGACAGGTGTGGAGTCCAGCAGCCGCCTGCTGCATCCTGGGACCTGTCTGTCTTCATTCTCATTAGACAGAGGCAGGAGCTGCCGAGGCTGCCCACTGAGGTCCTCGGGCCCAAGGAACCATCTCTCTTTTGCCTCGACACAGCCACCCAGAGTGAATGAGGACCATGGACACTTAGAGCCCCAGGAAACACTCTTCACCTGGGCTTTCACAGCCCGACAGAACACCAGGATGAACCCCCTACACAACAGCCATCAGAAACCACAGCCCTGGGTCAGGACAGTGAATTTAGATAAGATGCTCTGGAAAGAACCTGACAGTAACAGCACCTCTACCAATGAACTGACCCCAACACCTTCGAGCCTCTGACACCAGTGAACTGTTTCCCAGCAGCTTATGTGAATGTCTCCTTCTGCCAATAAAAGTTTCTCTCTTCAGATGCATATGCGGCTGGTCATAGCTGTATATGGGGGGTTAGAATTTTCTTTTCTAATTCCCTTATAATTGCGACATATCTGCAGATATTTTTTCTCTGATTTGTTTTTGGTTGATAGTACCCCATCTCAATAGCACTTCCCCTCATTTTCTTCTTCTTCTGTTTCTCCTTCTCCTCCTCTCCCCTCCTCTCCCCACCTCTCTCTCCTTCCTCCTCCATCCTCCTCTCTGTCCTTCATTCTTCTCCTCTCCTTCTCTTCCTCTTTCTCCTCCTTCTCCCACTCTGCTTATTTTACTTAAATACATTCACCACCCACTCGTTACCCACTGATCCAACCCTTATATATATACTTTTTATTATCTTCTTAAACCATCGCAGCTCCTTGAGGACAGAACTTTGATCTGTTTTGTTCTTTGCTGCTTGGGAGCCAGAAGAGGATGGTTTTAATTTTGAAAAAGTTTATTATTCGTGTCGTTTCCCCTCCACAGTTAAACATCTCTGAAATTGGGATATTTGTTAACGTCGCCCCTGGCCTGGCAGCAAGTCATAAGGTAGTTGTCCCAGCACGTGGATTAAAATCAGAACTTCCAGCACAGGTGCGAGCAGCTGGGAAGAAAATCCTAAGACAATAGCGAAGCATTCTTTTAAGCAGTGTGACACAGAGGCGCTGAGGACAGCATTGTGTTTAAAACAAGGACAAACGTGATTTTGAATCAAAAAGTGATGCCGAAGATTTAGTTGTTGAATAGGAAGATGCTTAAGGAATATCTTAACCTAATTATTTTGCATGTATTTTTCTTTTTATGTATTCACAAGTGAGATAGGTGATGCGGCTCTGTATTTAAAGAATCTAAAATAACTTTTATAAATCTAAATTTTAAAGAATCTAAGTATTATGAAAGCATTGGGGTCTAGCTTAATTTGGCAGGGTTTTTTTTTTTTTTTTTGCTTTAGTTGTCTATAAAAATCATGCATCTTACAAATGATGATAGATGAAATCAAGGGTTGGCAATCTTTTTATATAAAAGGCCAAATAGTAAATATTTAAGGCTTCCCAGGCCATCCAGCCTCTGTTACAACTACTTAACTGTGCTGCTGTGTAACCATAGATATTGTCTGAATAAATAAGCGTGGCTATGTTCTAGTAACATTTTATTTATGGAATTTTAATTTCATAATTTTCACATGCCATGTGAGATATTATTCTTCTTTTGATTTTTTTTTAACCATTTAAAAATGTGAGGAAATATTCTTAGTGTGTGGGCTGTGCAAAAATGGGCCTTTGGGTTGATGTTTGTCGAATCCTATGTTGAATTCAATGAAAGGTGGTAAACCTGTTTTACAGATGAGGAAGTCAAGCCCAGAAGAGTCATTGAAATATCTTGCTCAAGAGAAAAGAATCCTGGATCTGGGAGCTTTCTTAGATGTTATCTCTTTCAATTAGTTATAGGTGTCTGTGCCCACTCTGCAGACAGAGAGGCCAAGGAGCGTTGTATGGTTTGACGTCGCAAAGTGAGCTCCTGACATTGCTGGGAGGATGCTTGGTGTTTCAAACTGCGTTTTAAAGATATAGAAATAAGTGTAAAAGTGCTGAACACAATTCAAGGCACGTGTTAAAATTTTACTAAGTTGCTGGCTGGCAAGATGGCTAAATAGGAACAGCTTTGGTCTGTGGCTCCCAGTGTGATCAGCGCAGAAGATGGGTGATTTCTGCATTTCTAACTGAGGTACCTGGTTCATCTCACTGGCACTGGTTAGACAGTGGCTACAGCCCATGGAGGGCAAGCTGAAGCAGGGTCGGGTGTCACCTCTCAGGAAGTGCAAGGGGTCGGGGAACTCCCTTCCCTAGCCAAGGGAAGCTGTGAGGGACTGCCATGAGGAACGGTGCACTCTGATCCAGATACTACACCTTTTCCATGGTATTCACAACTTGCAGACCAGGAGATTCCCTCGGGTGCCTACACCACCAGGGCCCTGGGTTTCAAGCACAAAATCGGGCAGCCTTTTGGGCAGACACCAAACTAGCTGTAGGAGTGCTTTTTAATGCCCCAGTGGCACCTGGAATGCCAGTGAAAAAGAACCGTTCACTCCCCTGGAAAGGGGCCTGAAGCCAGAGAGCCAGGTGGTCTAGCTCAGTGGATCCTACCCCCATGGAGCCCAGCAAGCTAAGATCCACTGGCTTGAAATTATCACTGCCAGCACAGCAGTCTGAAGTTAACCTGGGACACTTGAGCTTGGCAGCGGGAGGGATGTCCACCATTACTGAGGCTTGAATAGGTGGTTTTCCCCTCACAGTTAAACAAAGCCACTGGAAAGTTCGAACTGGGGGAACCCCCCTGCAGCTCAGTAAAGCCCCTGTAGCCAGACTGCCTTTCTAGATTCCTCCTGTCTGGGCAGGGCATCTCTGAAAGAAAAATAGCAGCCCCAGTCAGGGGCTTACAGATAAAACTCCTGTCTCCCTGGGACAGAGCACCTGGGGGAAGGGGTGGCTATAGGCACAGCTTCAGCAAACTTAAAACGTTCTGCCTGCCTGCCATTTCTGAAGAGAGCAGTGGATCTCCCAGCACAGTGCTCGAGCTCTGCTAAGGGACAGACTGCCTCCTCAAGCGGGTCCCTGATCCCTGTGCCTCCTGACTGGGAGACACCTCCCAGCAGGGGTCAACAGACACCTTATACAGGAGAGCTCTGGCTGGCATCTGGTGGGTGCCCCTCAGGGACGAAGCTTCCAGAGGAAGGAACAGGCAGTAATCTTTGCTGTTCTGCAGCCTCTGCTGGTGATACCCAGGCCAACAGGGTCTCGTGTGGACCTCCAGCAAACTCCAGCAGACCTGCAGAAGAAGGGCCTTTTAGAAGGAAAACTAACAAAAAGAAAGGAACAGCTTCAACATCAATAACAAGGACGTGCACACAAAAAACCCCATCCGAATGTCACCAACATCAAAGAACAAAGGGAGATAAATCCATGAAGATGAGGAAAACCCAGCGCAAAACGGCTGAAAATTCCAAAAACCAGCACATCTCTTCTCCTTCAAAGGATCACAACTCCTCGCCAGCAAAGGATGGAGAATGACTTTGAAGAATTGACAGAAGTAGGCTTCAGAAAGTGGGTAATAACCAACTCTTCAATGCTAAAGGAGCATGTTCTGACCCAATGCAAGGAAGTTAAGAACCTTGAAAAAAGGTTAGAGGAATGGCTAACTAGAATAACCAGTTTAGAGAAGAACATAAATGACCTGATGGGACTGAAAAACACAGCATGAGCACTTTGTGAAGCATACACAAATATCAATAGCTGAATCACTCAAGCAGAAGAAAGGATATCAGCGATTGAAGATCAACTTAATGAAATGAAGGATGAAGACAAGATTAGAGAAAAAAAGAATGAAAAGTAATGAACAAAGCCTCCAAGAAATATGGGGCTATGTGAAAATACCAAACCTATGTTTGATTGGTGTACCTGAAAGTGACAGGGAGAATGGAACCGAGCTGGATAACTCTCTTCAGGATATTATCCAGGAGAACTTACCCAACCTCGCAAGACAAGCCAACACTCAAATTCAGTAAATACAGAGAACACCAAAAGATACTCCTCGAGACGAGCAACCCTAAGACACATAATTGTTAGATTCACCAAGGTTGAAATGAAGTAAAAAATGTTAAGGGCAGCCAGAGAGAAAGGTTGGGTTACCCGCAAAGGGATGCCCATCAGACTAATAGTGGATCTCTCTGCAGAAACTCTACAAGCCAGAAGAGAATGGGGGCCAATATCCAATATTCTTAAAGAAAGGAATTTTCAACCCAGCATTTCATATCCAGCCAAACTAAGCTTCATAATCAAAGGAGAAATAAAATCCTTTACCGACAAGCAAATGCTGAGAGATTTTGTCACCACCAGGCCTGCCTTACAAGAACTCCTGAAAGAAGCACTAAATATGAAAAGGAAAATCCAGTACCAGCCCTGGAAAAACATACCAAACGGTAAAGACCATCAACACTATGAAGAAATGGCATCAACTAACATGCAAAATAACCAGGTAGCATCATGATAGGATCAAATTCACATGTAACAATATTAACATTAAATGTAAACAAACAGGCTAAATGCCCCAATCAAAAGACACAGACTGGAAAATAGAATAAAGAGTCAAGACCCATCAGTGTGCTGTATTCAGGAGACCCATCTCATGTGGAAAGACACACATAGGCTCAAAATAAAGGAATGGAGGAATATTTACCAAGCAAAATGGAAAGCAAAAAAAGCAGGGGTTGTAATCCTTAGTCTCTGATAAAACATAGTATAAACCATCAAAGATTAAAGAAGACAAAGAAAGGCACTGCATAATGGTAAAGGGATCAATACAACAAGGAGAGCCAACTATCCTAAATAAATATGCACCCAATACAGGAGCACCCAGATTCATAAAGCAAGTTCTTAGAGACCTACAAAGAGACTTAGACTACCACACAATAATAGTGGGAGATTTTAACACCCCACTGTCAATATCAGACAGAACACAAGACAGAAAACTAACAAGGACAGTCAGGACTTGAACTGAGCTCTGGACCTAGTGGACCTAATAGACATCTACAGAACCCTCCACCCCAAATCCACAGAATATACAACTCTTCTTAGCGCCACATATCACTTATTCTAAAATTGACCACATAATTGGAAGTAAAACACTCCTCACCAAATGCCACCAAAAGAACAGAAATCATAACATTCTCTCAGACCACAGTGCAATCAAATTAGAACTCAGGATTAAGAAACTCACTCAAAACCACACAACTACATGGAAACTGAACTACCCGCTCCTGAATGATTACTGGATAAATTATGAAATTAAGACAGAAATAAATAAGTTCTTTGAAACCAATGGGAACAAAGACATCATGTACCAGAATCTCTGGGACACATTTAAAGCAGTATTTAGAGGGAAATGTATAGCACTAAATGCCCACAGGAGAAAGCAGGAAGGATCTAAAATTGACACCCTAACATAGCACTTAAAAGCACTAGTGAAGCAAAAGCAAACAAATTCAAAAATTAGCAGAAGACAAGAAACAACTAAGATCAGAACAGAACTGAAGAAGGAGACACAAGAAACCCTTCAAAATATTAATGAATCCAGCTGGGCATGGTGGCTCACACCTGTAATCCCAGCACTTTGGGAGGCTGAGGTAGGCAGACCCTGGTCAGGAGTTCGAAACAAGCCTGGCCAACATGGTGAAACCCTGTCTCTACTAAAAAATACAAAAAAATTAGCCAGGTGTGGGTGTGGTGGCACGTGCCTATAGTCCCAGCTACTTGGAAGGCTGAGGCAGGAGAATTGCTTGAACCTGGGAGGCGGAAGTTGCAGTGAGATGAGACTGTGCCATAGCACCCCAGCCTGGCAACAGAGCAAGACTCCGTCTCAAAATGAATGAATGAATGAATGAATCCAGGAGCTGTTTTTTTGAAAAGTTTAACAAAATAGATAGGCTGCTAGCCAGACTAACAAAGAAGAAAAGAGAGAAGAATCAAATAGACACAATAAAAAATGATAAAGGGATATCACCACTGATTTCACAGAAATAAAACTACCACCAGAGAATACTATAAATACCTCTATGCAAATAAACTAGAAAATCTAGAAGAAATCAATAAATTTTTGGACACATGCACCCTCTCAAGACTAAACCAGGAAGAAGTCAAATCCCTGAATTGACCAATAACAAGTTCTGAAATTGAAGCAGTAATTAATAGCCTACCAACCAAAAAAAGGCCAGGACCAGATAGAGTCACAGCTGAATTCTATCAGAGGTATAAAGAGGAGCTGGTACCATTCCTTCTGAAACTATTCCAAACAATAGAAAAAGAGGGACTCCTCCCTAACTCATTTTATAAGGCCAGCATCATCCGGACACCAAAACCTTGCAGAGACACAACTAAAAAAGAAAATTTCAGGCCAATATCCCTGATGCACATCGATGCAAAAATCCTCAATAAAATACTGGCAAACCAAATCCAACAGCAGATCAGAAAGCTTATCCACCATGATCAAGTCAGCTTTATCCCTGGGATGCAAGGCTGGTTCAACACACACAAATCAATGAAAGTAATTAATCACATAAACAGAATCAATGACAAAAACCATATGATTATCTCAATAGATGCAGAAAAGGCCTTTGATAAAATTCAACACTGCTTCATGCTAAAAACCCTAAATAAACTAAGTATCAATGGAACCTATCTCAAAATAATAAGAGCTATTTATGACAAAACCACAGCCAATATCATATTGAATGGGCAAAAGCTGGAAGCATTTACTTTGAAAATAGGCACAAGACAAGGATGCCCTCCCTCACCAGTCCTGTTCAACATAGTATTGGAAGTTCTGGCCAGGGCAATCAGGCAAGAAAAAGAAATAACAGATATTCAAACAGGAAGAGAGGAAATTAAGTTGTCTCTGTTTGCAGATGACATGATTGTATATTTAGAAAACCCATCATCTCAGCCCAAAATCTCCTTAAGCTGATAAGCAACTTCAGCAAAGTCTCAGGATACAAAATCAGTGTGCAAAAATCCCAAGCATTCCCAATAAACACCAATAATAGACAAACAGCCAAATCATAAATGAATTCTCATTCACAATTGCTACAAAGAGAATAAAATACCTAGGAATACAACTTACAAGGGATGTGAAAGGACCTTTTCAAGGAGAACTACAAACCACTGCTCAAGGAAATAAAAGAGGTCACAAACAAATGGAAGACATTCCATGCTCATGGATAGGAAGAATCAGTATTGTGAAAATGGCCATGCTGCCCAACGTAATTTATAGATTCAATGCTATGCCCATCAAGCTACCATTGACTTTCTTCATAGAATTGGAAAAAACTACTTTAAATTTCATATGGAACAAAAAAAGAGCCCGCATAGCCAAGACAATTCTAAGCAAAAAGAACAAAGCTGGAGGCATCACGCTGCCTGACTCCAAACTATACTACAAGGCTACAGTAACCAAAACAGCATGGTACTGGTACCGGTACCAAAACAGTTTTAGACCAATGGAACAGAAGACAGGCCTCAGAAATAATGCCACACATCTACAACCAACTGATCTTTGACAAATATGACAAAAACAAGCAATGGGGAAAGGATTCTCTATTTAATAAATGGTGTTGGGAAATGGTGTTGCCATATGCAGAAAACTGAAACTAGACCCCATTCCTTATACCTTGTACAAAAATTAACTCAAGATGGATTAAAGACTTAAATGTAGACCTAAAACCATAAAAACCCTAGAACAAAACCTAGGCAATACCATTCAGGACATAGGCATGGGCAAAGACTTCATGACTAAAACACCAAAAGCAATGGCACCAAAAGCCAAAATAGACAAATGGGATCTAATTAAATTAAAGAGCTTCTGCACAGCAAAAGAAACAATCGTTAGAGTGAACAGGCAACCTACAGAATGGGAGAAAATTTTTGCAGTCTCTCCATCTGACAAAAGGCTAATATCCAGAATCTATAAGGAATTTAAACAAATTTAAAAGAAAAAACCAACCCATCAAAAAGTGGGCAAAGGATTTGAACAGATACTTCTCAAAAGGAAACATTTATGTGGCCAACCCATGAAAAAAAGCTCATCATCACTGGTCATTAGAGAAATGCAAATCAAAACCACTATGAGATACCATCTCATGCCAGTTAAAATGGCGATCATTAAAAAGTCAAGAAACAACAGATGCTGGAGATGATGTGGAAAAATAGGAACACTTACACTGTTGGTGGGAGTGTAATTTAGTTCAACCATGGTGGAAGACAGTGTGGCAATTCGGCAATTCTTCAAGGATCTAGACCCAGAAATACCATTTGACCCAGCAATCCCATTACTGGGTATATACTCAAAGGATTATAAATCATTTTACTATAAAAACACATGCACATGTATGTTTACTGCAGCACTATTTACAATAGCGAAGACTTGGACTCAACCCAAATGCTCATCAATGATAGACTGGATGAAGAAAATGTGGCACATATACACCATGGAATACTATGCAGCCATAAAAAGGATGAGTTCATATCCTTTACAGGGACATGGATGAAGCTGGAAACCCTCATTCTCAGCAAACTAACACAATAGAAAAGCAAACACTGCATGTTCTCGCTCATAAGTGGGTGCTGAACAATGAGAACACATGGACACAGGGATGGGCACATTACCCACGGGGCCTGTCAGGGGAGTAGAGGGCTAAAGGATAGCATTAGGAGAAATAACTAATGTAGATGACAGGTTGATAGGTGCAGCAAACCACCATGACACGTGTAGACCTATGTAACAAACCTGCACGTTCTGCACGTGTATCCCAGAACGTAAAACATAATAATTTTTTTTTGCTAAGTTTACTCCCACTTCCTACGTTGTCTTCTCTTTAGCCAACCTTCCAACCTTTTTGTCAAGGAAGAGTGCAGCCCCTAGCCTCAAGGCTCTTCTCTCCTCCTAACCCCATTGGGGCTAAAACGCCCCCTGCCCCGACGTGTGGCACCAGGAGTGGGGGTCACAGCTCTGCGGCCCGCGCCTGCACCCCCTCCTTCTGCCCCCCTCGGAAGCTGTCTGTGCTTTTTCGATCCATCACCTAGGCTCTGCCTTCCTCCCCTCGCCTCCTTCTCGCTCGCTCCCGCGCTCTCTCTCCACTTAGTGGTTCGTTTACTGCTCAATCTGTGATTAATTAAAACAATTTAAGTAACTGTGCTGACGCTAAACTCATTTACAGCCACCTCCGCCGCGCCTGGCTGCGTTAGCGCCGGGGAGCAGCGGTGCGGGCTTGTGCCGAGCGCCAGGGGGCGCTGCGGTCTCAGGTTTGACTGGGACCTTGGCTCTGGATGGCTGGGTTGGGCGTGAGAAAAAGGTTGAAACAAACACGCTCGCTCTCCCCTCCCGCCCACTTCGCCTTCTTCCACGTGAGCTTCCACCGCGTCCGTGCCCTCGCAGTCCCCAAAGATCCGCTGGGTTAATCCAGCATAAAACATGTCAGGGAAGTGAACTCCTTTCTCCTGCCCTGGCCAGCCCCAGGATATTCCCAGGACACCTAGGGCCCAGGGACCAGGAAGGTCATGTATGCAGGAGGGAAAACAGAGGCACAGACTGTGAGCAAGGGAGATCTGCCCATGGCTCCCTTGGTGGGGAAGGGCAGATTTTAAATCTAATGACTGGTGTCCTTATAAGAGGAGGGGACACAGAGAGACACATATTTCCTGTGAAGAGTCGGGTATAGTGGCTTATGCCTGTAATCCAGGCATTTTGGGAGATTGAGGCAAGTGGATCACCTGAGGTCAGAAGTTCGAGACCAGCCTGGCCAACATGGCAAAACCCTATCTCTACTACAAATACAAAAAATTAGCCAGGCATGGTGGCGGGCACTTGCAATCCCAGCTACTTGGGAGGCTGTGGCAAGAGAATTGCTTGAACCCGGGAGGCGGAGGCTGCAGTGAGCCGAGATTGCACCATTGCACTCCAGCCTGGGCAACAGAGCGAGACTCTGTTTCAAAACAAACAAACAAACTTGTGAAGATGGGGCAGTGGTTGGTGTAATGCTACCACGAGCCAGGGAACCCAAGAATCACCAGAAGCTGGAAGAGACAAGGGAGGATCCTTTCCTGATTGTTCAGAGAGAGTGTGGCCCTGCCGACACCTCGGTTTCAGGCTGGTAGCCTCCAGGACTGTGAGGAAATAAAAATGATTTGTTTTAGGCTGCCCAATTTGTGGTCATTTGTTCTGGCGGTGCTAGGAAGCTGCGACAAGGCGTTAGAAAGAACCAGCATCTAGGTGCTTCACTAGATGTGTTCATGAATGTTTTCCCATGTGAGCCTCACCACAGCCACAGGCAGTAGGTTAAATTAACACCCTCATCTGTCTGGCACGGCCAAACAGCTGAGAAGAGGCAGAACCGGTTCAAGTGCAGGCTAGCCTGGGTCTGCCGCTGGGGGTCGCGGCAGGCTGCTTACCTCACGCCCTCGGGTCCCACATTTCCTGGGGTCTTGCCTTGAACAGAAATGAGACCAAGGAAGTGTAAGTTTGCTGGGTGGGGAAGGGATAAGAACTCAGACACAATCAGGAGCATCAGGCACGGCTGGAGGCTGCTTGCTGTGTGGATGTGCTCTGGTGGAGAGAAGACAGCTCCGCCCAGGCTGGTCCCTCACACAGAGCTTCAGGACTCTGCACTTGGGAGCAGTGGCTGCCTCATGGGTTAGCATGGGATGAGACTAGCATGAGTCAAAGTGACCTTGGGCAGGTGGCTTCCCTTCTCCATGCCTCGCATCTCACTGGGGCCAATTTTGCCCCCCAGGAAACAACTTGGTAATATCTGGAGATATTTTGGTTGTCACAACGGGGTGGGAGGTGCTACTGGCTTTGAGTGGGTAGGGACCAGAGATGCCGGCCAGTGTCCTACAATGTATGAGACAGCCCCTTACGACAAAGAATTATCCAGTCCGCATGTCAGTAGTCCCAAGGCTGAGGGACCGTCTCTACGCAATCTGCCCCATCACTTCCCTTAGCTACTGTCCCCAGCTACTGTCCCCCTCCACATAGCCACACTGGCCTCTGCTGTTCCCCGAACGTGTCCTGCCTGAGAGCATTTACCCTGGCTAGTTCATCCTCAGTATCTGCCTGGCTAGCTCATTCCATGTCTTCTAGGCCTTTGCTCAAATGCCACCCTTCAGCAGGATCTAGTCCAACCACACCGTATTGACAGCTGCAGCCTGCGCCTCCTCCGGGGCCCTTTCATTCATCTTATCTCACTTAAAAAAAATTGTTTTAAAATTTGTAGCACATACCACCTTCTAGCATCCTCTGCCTATTGCTTATTCCCTATATGTCTTGTCTGTCAACAAATAATTCTGTTTTCAGTTTATTATATTGACTGGTGTGTTTCCAGTGCCTGAAACAATGCTCAGCACATAATAGGTGCTCAA